GGTTAAACCAGCTGCCCATGCACATCAACTCCCTGCAGCAATATCTCCCTTCACAGAATAGAAATAATTAGCCTAATGGTTGGATGTGGAAATTTTGCTAAATTACGACAAGGGACATGCATAACTGGACTGATTTTAGCTCTTCTGACCTTCTAGCCTCCCCCTTCCCTCTTCTGAAGTCATGAAGACTTGAGAGCTGAGTCCTGCCAGGCATGTCGAAGGGCTCAGAAGAGAAATGGGTGATTTTCAACAGGAGAAATGGATGATTTTCAGCAGGAGACTCTGCCAAGGGTTTGGTTTTATAGGCACAGGTATTACTGAAGAGCTTGGCCAAATGCACATGGGTTATGTTCAGAAGACACGGGGAGGATCTATTAGACCTCCAAGTTCCCTGATATGGTTGGATGTACTGGTTAACCTTATGTTTACCATAACCATGCTTTCATCATCTGTAGTTTGTATGGAGGGCCTCAGCTCAAAGATAAAAACAGCTGCTTTGCTGTGTGGACAGTGCAGAGTTACCCCAGCAGTCACACTGGAAAAGCATTAGTTATCCAAGGACACAAACTGAACAAGACAAATCTGGGGCCAACCCGTTTCTCCTCAAGCAGTCTGTAAACACACTGAGAATCAGAGGACTTGGAGAGGCAAGCTAAATTTGCTCTCACTGTGGCCCACGTTTCTAGCCTTCAACTGCTTAAGAGCAAGCAAATTTGGCCTCTTGCTCCATTTTAATTTACTGTCTTTAAGTGAGACTTCACTCAAACCTGGCAGTTTGACAGGTGATGTTGCTCAGACCCTGTCTTTTGTTAAAGACAGTTTTGTTTCTCTCCAAGACTACCGTAGCTCAGCTGAGGACCTGCTCTAGGGATGGGGACCACAGACAGCCTGGAGCTCCACTGATGTTTCCTCTACCAGCCCTGGCTGCCAGGGCTGAGGATCAGCTGCTGTTCCCTTCCTGATTCCTGGGAACATGAACAGCCACATGCATTGGTGTAGGGACCAGACATCTTCAGCATCAGCTTCAGTCCTGTGAGATCTCCATCCTCCCACTCTGTATAGATAAACTCTCATGAATTAACTTCAAGGTGTGATTCTGCTCTGGGAGAAGGCAACAGCAAAGCCCCTCTGGCTTTAAAGTGAGGAGGAAGGTTCAGCCCCTCTAATTGCTCTTTTCCAGAAAATATCAGTTGAGTTCTCCTGAGTTTGATGAGCAGCTGCTGTTTTGGGGATATGAAGACATTTGTCTCCACCGATTCTCTCCACGCCTGTTGGTATTTCTCCAAGCAGTGCCCTGAAGGCAGTTCTGTGTTTTTGTACTGCTTTCTTGTAAGCAGCTAAACATATTTACCTAAGCACCCCGTTGCAAAGAGACAATCAGCAGATTTTGTCTTTCATGTACAGCAAGTGGATACTGTAAAATGCAAGTAGCAGCCGTTCACAGTGATCAATAAACACAGTAAAGCCTATCCGATGGCAGTGCTTGTTTTGTGTGTACAAAAACTTCTCCTGCACAATCTGCTACAGATGCCATGTCAGTATAGGGCACCCTATTCTGGCTGCAGGGCCCTGATATTATGGCAGCACAAGCCTCTGTGGGGTATCCCAACCCTGCCTTCCAGACAGCAAGATGAGAACCAGCTCCTGTCCTTTTTCAATGTAATAAAATATTTCTTCTGCTCTCCAAGACCCTACAGATTTCTGAACTTTTCCTTCTGTCAAGTCAAAGTAGCCAGTACCTTCATATTTTATATTTTGTGAATGGGAATCATATTATATGCACCGTGACCATTAACAGATTCAAAGCTGCTTTCAGCAAGAATCGTGAACTTTTTAGGATAAGGAGTGTATATATTATGTTTTACTGGCTGTTGAATACATGAAGTTGCAGAGAGTTAATTCTGGCAAGAAGAATTGTTTGTGAGTCTCGTGATGTGAGAAAGGCAATGAATGAAACACTTGAGGGGAGCAGAGGGCAATGTTATCCAAAACTTTCATCAATCATGGCAAAAGAAAGCAAAGCAAAGCTGGTCACTGGGATGAGGGTATTGATCCAAGCTCTGTGTCTTTTCTCACAGTGTTCTTGATTGCAGCTTGTTGAAAATATTTTACTATGGTTCGGGAAGTCCCTAAGCCATGAATTGCTGGAGGTTGAGAGAAAATACAAGGGAAGTGTCACCATGGACTTGACATAAATGTATGACATAGATTTGGAATTTTTGCTGAATAACAAACCTGACCTGTTACAGCTCTTCTTATATTTCCAAGCTAAGGGCCAAGTCCCAAAAGAAACCTAAAAAGGGGATTAAAGCAGAATTTAGGCACTGAAATCCAAACTGGAAATAAAAATATTCCTCATTGGGTTCCCCCTCAGAAAGGGGGACTGGGCACGCCGGAGCCAGTTGGAGCTCTGGTGCGAAGTGTCTGCATTCTTGACAGTCTAAATTTGGGAACCGTGCCCAAACTTTTCAACAGTTCTGTTTGTGTCCAGTCCTAAATACACCTCAGTGTGGGATCAGTGGGTTTGCCTTGGTACTGGACTGGTGATACGGGGCACAGGATGCATTACATCCCTCAGCCCCTTGCTCCGGGTCTCCAGAAATCCAGACCCTTGTGGAGAGGATGCAGCGTACCTGGCAGTCACACGGGGTTTGCCTTAGAGCGACCCGGTGGAGGGATTAACTAGGGGATCAGCCCCTCTCACTGCATTACAGAGCAGTAATTAAATTATTCCCAATCAAAACCGCTGGAATCTGGCACCTAAACCTCACTGCTGATATCTCCGTAATCTCTGCCTGCTTGTTCAAGTGCTTAACTGTCCTTCCTAAGAAGTGTCCCAGTTTTGTCCTGCTGGAAGTTAGACCACGTTTCTCCTCCTGTCCCTGTTGATCCACGGGGACAGCAGACCCCCGTCCTACAAATTATACTGGTTTTGCAGAAGGGGCCGGTGAGCCTCCATCAGAATAACGTTCCCGGCACCCGTCACCTCATTATAAAAGTGAGTTAATGCAAATAGGGAAGTGGCACCAGAGCCCAAATGATGCAGGAACTTAATTATTCAGAAAAGGGTTAGGAAATCTACGGTGTGGCTGCTGCCTTTGGAAAATAGGAGATTAAAAAGAGACGTTGGTGAGGTTTGCAGAGCTCTGGGGGAACAGGGAGGATTCACGTACACGGGGAGAGCCAAGCTAGTGGCAAATTCCAGAACAAAAGGGAAATTAACAGAAGCTAAAGTGGGGATGATCAACAAAGCGGTGTAATTTATTTGTGAATGTGTTTGTGTTTAATGCAGTTAATATATGGAAAATTATACCAGGGCTGTAACAGAAATCATTTTACAAGGCTTTAGACAAGTGTGGGGGCTTATAATAACACCGTGGGATGCAACTGTTAATTCAGAGGGAAAAGGACTTACATCTTAGTCACAATCTTGCCTCTTAAAACACTTAGCTGCATTGTGCTAAGTAATAGGCATCGTTACTCTAAAATGACTATCGATACAATACTCAGGGAAAGGTTTTCATTTACGAGATTAATTTCCCTTCCAGATTTACATACTTAGACGTGAAAAAACTCAGAAAAACCAGGAGGGCCGGGGCTGGATCCTGCCCTCAGCAGCAGCAGCAGCAGCAGCGTGATGCCCGAGGATCGCCAGGGAGGCACGCAGGATGCTCACATCGGAATAACCGAGATGAGGTCTGGTCCTCAAGCGCATGCATGCCAGACGGAAAAGCCTTGCTGTCCCCTCCTTAAATTTCAAGGAGAGCTAACAAAGAGTCCCGAAGCCCTTTTAGGGCTTTTTTTTTTTTTTTTTTTTTTTTTTCTTTTTCTGCCGCTTTCGGAACAAACGCGTGTCACCATTTGCATACGATGCCTCCGGGCCATCAGCTTCAACGAGCCTGGGATCAGGCTGGGCGGCTCGCTTCTCGACCTGCAGGTTTTGTCTTTTTTAAGACAAACCACAGCACCTGCAGCTGCGGGGAGCCCCCTCGAAGTGCTCCGAGGCAAGGGGACTCGCCAGAGCCTTTCCCCGGGACATCTCGGCGGGGGCTGCGCTCCCACCCCGGGAACGGTGCTCAGCCTACCCCTAAGAACTGGGGCAAGGTCCCCATTTATTCCCCATTTATTCCCCATTTATTCCCCGCAGGGCAGAGCCCTGGAGGCACTTAGCGAGGCGAAAAGCTCCCGCCGCGTTAGCACCGTTTAGCCAGAAAAAAAAAAAAAAATCAAAGGCAATTAATTACAATTCCTGGGTTGGGATAAAACCAAACCGAAAAAGCAAACACCGCTTGATTGGGACGCAAACACGCGCAGGGAAACCTACAAAACACCGTGCCGTAACCCAGCCCAAACTCTGCGAAAGGCATTTCTTCACCGTGCCCCCCGCCCCATCGGCAGCTGGGGAGCCGAGGCGGCCGGAACGGGCGTGCGGGGACACCGGGGCGCTCTGCTGCGGGATGCTCGGTCCCCTCGGCTCGGCACGGCTGAGGCTGGACGGGAGGAGGCAGAGGAAGCCGAGGGGAGGATGGCAACGAGGGTAAGAGGATGGCAAAGCCGCTGCCTGCGCTGCCCCGACGGGACGGGACGGGACGGACAGGAGGGGACGGGATGGGACGGGACGGGACAGGAGGGGACGGGATGGGATGGAATTGGATGGGATGGGATGGGACGGGACAGGAGGGGATGTGTGGGGTCCCCCACACCGTCGCCAGCCGTCGGGGGCCGGCGAAGCCCCGCCGCCGCTCCCCGCCCCTCCGCCCGCCCCGCCTACGGGGGGGCCGCGCCGCCGCCGGTGCCCGGGGCATCTCTCCGCACACGGGCCGGCCCCGGCTGGCGAAGCGGCTCCCCGCGAGCGGCTCAGCCCCGTTCCCGAGCCCTCCCCCGAGCCCCCGGCCCCGCAGGTGGGTCCGGCCGCCCCGCCTCGCCCCGCTCCCCCCACGTCGGGGCGGCGCCGAGGGGCGGGCGAAGGGGGCAGCACCGGGCGGCCGCTCCGTGCCTCTCCGTGCCGCTCCGTGCCGCCCCCCCAGCTCCGTGCCAGCCCCGCCGGGAGCCCGGGGGGCTCGGCGGCATGGAGGGGCGAGCGGGCTGAGGGGGGCCCCGACGGGGAGGCGGCGGCGGCGGGCGGGGGGGGGGGCTCACCGCCTTTCTTTTTTTTTTTTTGCCGTCCCCCCCGCAGGGAGCGGCCGGCCCCCGCGCCACCATTACCTCTCCCGGCAAGGAGGACCTGCTGTCTCTCGCCGCCCGGCTCTGGCAGCGGAGGAGGCGGCTGCTGGCCGCCGCCGGGCTCGCCCTGGCCATGGCAGTCGCCCTGCTGGTCGCCGTGCCCCTGCTGCTGCTGCAGGCGCCCGCCGAGAGCGGCGCCCACTACGAGATGATGGGCACCTGCCGCATGATCTGCGACCCCTACAGCGCCGCCCGGCCCCCCGGCCCCGGCAGCACGGCCGCCGTGGAGGCTCTGCAGGACCCGGGGGCCAACCCCCCGCCGCCGCCCTTCGTCCACCAGGGCCCCAAAGGGGAGCCGGGCCGGCCGGGCAAGCCGGGCCCGCGGGGTCCCCCCGGGGAACAGGGACCCCCCGGTCCCCGGGGGCCTCCGGGGGAGCGGGGCGAGGCGGGGAAGCCGGGGCTGCCCGGGCTGCCGCTGCCCGGGGCGGGGGGCGGCGGGGGCAGCGGCGGCGGGGCGGCGGCGGGGGGCGGCGAGGCGGCGGGGGGGCTGAGCGCCGCCTTCAGCGGGCCCCGCATCGCCTTCTACGTGGGGCTCAAGAGCCCCCACGAAGGCTACGAGGTGCTCAAGTTCGACGACGTGGTCACCAACCTGGGCAACCACTACGAGCCGGCCAGCGGCAAGTTCACCTGCCAGGTGCGCGGCATCTATTTCTTCACCTACCACATCCTCATGCGCGGCGGCGACGGCACCAGCATGTGGGCCGACCTCTGCAAGAACGGGCAGGTGGGTGCCGAGACACCCCCTTCACCCCCCGAGACCCCTCCGCCAGCCCCGAGGTGCCCCGGCCCCGCCGCATCCCCGGCATCCGTGCGGGGATGGAGCCCCCGACGGCGCCCCGACGGCAGCGGCTCCGCTCGGAGCCCCAGCGAAACCCCGTTCCCTTTGGGGCCTGGGGAAGGGGAGAGGGGTGCGTGGGGGCGTGCGGGGGCCCGAGGGGGCTGATGCGGCCGTGGCTGTGTTGGCAGGTGCGGGCCAGTGCCATCGCCCAGGACGCCGACCAGAATTACGACTACGCCAGCAACAGCGTGGTGCTGCACCTGGACTCCGGCGACGAGGTGTACGTCAAGCTGGACGGAGGCAAAGCGCACGGAGGCAACAACAATAAGTACAGCACTTTCTCTGGCTTTCTTTTATACCCCGATTAAAACAGAGCGAGCGACACGACCCTGCTGACCCCGCCAGTGATGCGTGTGGGGCTGGCTGGTGTCTCCGTACCCCGTCGTGCCGCGGTTCCCGCTGGTGTCCGCTGTCTCCACAGGTCACTTTGGCTTTGTTACCACTTCGTACGGTTTTTTTTTTCCTCTTTTTTTTTTTTCTTTTCCCGTGGAAACGAAATGCGAGTGAAACAAAGCGATCCCCTGCTCTGAGCCCCCCTGTCCCTTTGTCAGCCTCAGTGTTTTGTGTGTCACACCAGGAGCTCGGCGGCTCGAAACTCCCGAGTGGTCCCCGTGGTGCGCACGGGGGCTCAGAGTTCAGCCTGTGCCACACACGGAATTTGAACCGGTCGTTTTCTTTTTGGTCGATGAGTATTAATCACGATGCTGAATTTTCGGATTGATTATTCATGAAGTGGTTTTGATTATTCATGGAGTGGCCATAACTGGTTTTTCCTCTGCTGCTTCGTTTGTATGGGGTCAAGTGTAAACTTTTCTTTTCTGTGCAACGCGATGCTCGTGTGAATGACGATGTCACTAACGGCAAATCTGTTCCTGTCTGCAAAAAGAATTCAGTCCTTGACCACAATCACCGAAACACCACATTAAATTATGTTTTTAGACAATGGCTTCTTGCTGTGTGTCTCTTCCAGTGCTGCAAAGGAGCGCTGTGCTGGTGGCATGGGGGGTGGGAGGCATAGGGGTGCTGCTTCAGTCCTTTAGGTTTGCACCAAAGCTAAAAGTTAGGATGGGGCACCTTGTCTAGGTCTTGATTATAGTTCAAAGGGTCTGGGAGGAGATAGAGAAGGCAAAAAACCTTCACCTTTATGCAGTTTTATAAAAAGAAGGCGCGTAGTCATCCAGGGGTGAAACTGGGTGTGCAGAGTGCTTCTGCTAAACATTCACTGGGTCAGAACCTGACCCAGACTTACTGAAGTTCAAGAAAAATCATTTAATCGGCAGTTACAGAGCAGCAGTGTGCTGTGCCTGACAAATGCAAGAAGGAGGTGGGAGAGAGCCCCCACAGCGCAGCACGCATGGGGCTGAGACCCCAGCTGGCCCTGGAGATGGGGGTGAGAGGAAGCTCACTGAAGACCAACAGCCTTGAATGTGGTCATTTGGATGTGGTAAATCCCAGGTGCCGTGTGTCCTTCTAAAAGTGCAGGGTGTGTACCAGTGCATGCGGCTCTGAGCCTGCTGGTGGAGGGGGAGCATCTTCCTCAGACAACAGGTAAACCCCACAGCTTGGGCACAGAGGGTGTGCTCTGTTCCAGCTAAGGGAGCTAAACCAAGCTACAAAAGCTGGTCCCCTTGTTAGCTCTTCCTTCCATCGTGCTGTTTCCACGTGCCATTTTCCCCTCGTGTAGCTCTCACCTCCCCGGAGGCTCACTGCCCTTCACAGCCCTCCTGTGGCTGCCCAGACAAGTGGGGCAGGAGCTGGGCTGCAGCATCTCTGCCCTGGCTGGGGCTTGCCCATCTCTCTGGCCTGGCAGAAGCACAGGGGTTCACAGCTGGGATGAACTTGTTCCAGCCCCAGGTCTGGGCACCAGGTTCTTGCAGCCTCCTGTGCCTCCTGCCTGCTCCTCAGAGGGCATCGTCCTCGGTGGTGCACCAGGAGGGCCCCAGGCTGCCCTGCCGGAGGAGGAAGAAAGCAATTCCTCCCTAAATCCCATCCTCAAACCTCCCAAAGCCGAGGGGAGCAGAGTTCATAACCAGGTACATGTGTTAGACACTTATCAATCTCTAATGTCTTGTCGATTTGTACCATTTAGAATATGATTAAAACCGGTGTCTGAGACCCAAATGAAGCATAATTGCTATGGATCCCCAATTCCCCGTGGATCTGTAATCCTTTTTGACTATTCCTCCTCCCTCTTCTCTCTCCACCCCCCCCCCCATCTTCTGACGAAATGGAGCTTAGACACAAAGCCCTCGGTTTAAATTTCAAAAAATTAAAATTGACATGCAGCAGCATTAGCGGGCGCCAGGAGGAATTCTAAGGAGGTGCCTGGGCTCCGCTTTATCCTTTGCATTAAGAAGCAATTTGTACTTCTAACAAAGACCCAACTGTTCCCCCTTGGCAAAAGGGCAATGAAGATGCCTTGCAAGGGAATTGCTGTTCACAATACTTAAACAAATTTGAATCTTAGATTTTTAAATCTGTATTCCCTGGTGGAGCCTGCTCCTTGCAATTCAAATGCGGGGCTGGCGGTGTGTGCCTGCCAAGGTGTCAGTAGCTAAGCGGATGATGGATTGATGAGGCAATGGGAAGACACAGGCTGGCAGGTGGCGGTTTGCCCCGACAGTGATCTATGTATCTGCACATTATCAATGTCACGAGGAGGCTTGAACCACCCTCGCTAGATGTCTCATTTTCCACTTATCTCTTATGTACTAATTATCAGGCTGGATTATTCCCTGGGATAGAAGCACAAAAATGCTCATTGCCACTCCACTGACAGTTTACACAATCGATAGGGCCAACGTCTCCCCGGCTGCTCGCGGGCTTTTTTCTTTCCTCTCCTTCTAGCAGGGACCCTTGAGATGGCCTCTGTGGGGTGTGATGGCTCTCACCTGGGCTGGTGGACAGGATCCTCCATCCCAGGCACCATGGTAGCATCTCTGAGTGCGGGTTGGTTTGTGGTTTTATTTATATATTTAGTAATTTTCCTGAAGAAACAGGGGGAAAGCAACTGGGAGATGGGAAGTTTCTGTGCTGGGTGGTGTGCTTGTCCAGGGAACCACAGGGATCGTGGTGCCCATGGGTGGCTGTGGGAAGAAAGCAGGGTGGCTGCCGCTGAGACCTTCTCAGCTTCGATGCAGAGGGGACCTCCACGTCCCTCCAGATGTTTTACACATCTCATGGCACAAAGAGAAGGGGATGATTGCAGTGGGGACACCGTGATCCCTAGTTTGGCCCAGAGGAGGATTTATTTGTGCTCAGGGGATGGCTGCGACTTTGTGAACTGGTTTCCCATGGCATCTCAGACAAGCTCTGGAGGGCTAGCCCCTCAGAAGTGCTCCTAGAATGACTGCTTTACCCAATTAGTAAAGTAAATGCTCTTAAGAAATGAGGGATGATAGGGGTGTGAATAGGGAAACCTCCCTGAAAGGAGTGGAAGGGCAGAGCTTCAGACAAAGGTTGCTTCTCTTTTGTATCCAGTTGTATGCTCAAGATGAACTAATGATAAAAAAGCCAGTTAAGATTAAAAAAGAAAAGGTGTCCATGCTCTCAAAGCAACTTTGATATTGCAGCAACAAATCCTGGATCTTTGTGTCACTGATGGCAATCCTCTGCCCTGCTCTGGGCTCCCTGTACCATGCCTGAGCTGTGGAAGGGGTCCCTGGGAAGAGGGAGCAGGAGGCATCTGAGGGCATGAAAGACTGAAATCTGGTGGCTCTGCATTTTCCAGCATCTGGGCTTGCAGATTTTCTCCTCAATACTCATCCTCTTGCAAAGCAGGGCAGGGGAGCCCCTGGTCTGGCTCCTCTTTTCCTCTTTTTGCTGTAAAAAGAGTAAAATGCTGCTTTTTGTGCCTCGTGGGTTACAAACACACATTGAGCCACGCTTTGGTCAAGGGCTTTCTGCTGTTGAAACCTACTCTGGATATTTCTCAGTGATTTAATGATTGCTTGTATCCTCGCTTGTCTCCTTCAGGGGCTTGTAGTCCCTGGAAAGGTTTAATCTGTGAACGCACAAAGTAGGAAGGGTGGCTTGGTGAATGTTTGTGCAGGCTTTTTCTGCCTATCCCATAGACTGATTACATTGTGGAGGACAGAGGCAAATGGCATATAAGTCTATTTATTATGCTTATGTTAAATACCTTTTTTTGTTTTTGTTTTTGTTTTGTTTTGTTTTGTTTTTGGTAACACAGGCCAATTTTTTCCCTTACTCTGATTGGATTGAACTTTGGGGGAAAGTCCCAGCCAAGATTCTGTGCCTTAGCATCGTCTCTGGGATAAAGGAGCCTGTCAGAGTAAAATAAAGACTAACAGCATCTTCACTGACTTTGAGGCTTCAAAGAGCTTGGTCCTTTTTACTGTGAACGGACACATCGTGCAGAGATGGGGAAGATTAATGACAGACGAGGGAGGTGAGCTGCTACAGTGTGGACACCCTGGCACTTAGGGGCGAGAGCCTTCTTTCAGGTGGTTTGATAGCAGAACTTCAGGAGGTTCAGCTTGGTGATGAGCTTTGGCTAACATGCAAAGAGGGGTCCATTTCTTTAGACCAGATCCATGCCAGTTCAGAGCTTTATTCCTTGGTCACCTCTCAGGTTTTCCCTGGAGGCCACCGCGCTCCCTTGCTCATTTCTGAGGGCCACGGTATGGATTGAAGCAGGGTCCTGAGCTCCATCCTCTTCCCCTAGGTCAGGCTGTTTGCTACTGGCCCTAATTCCTTTCCTCTCACCAGCAGAGGGCAATGCAGGTTCCCTGGAAATACCCAGTGGCATGGCAGCGTTACCTCCTGGCCGTGCAAGGTGATGAGGCTGTGGTACAATTTGATAACCCATCCTGGAACATGCATTGTAATGCTTTTTTTTTTTTTTTTTTTTTATCCCCCATGTTCTGGGCTGAAGCCCTGACAGTTGCTTATTTTGGGTCATATCCCCAGAGTGCTGAGCCCCTGGGGTGTCCTCCTCCACAGGACCTCACCTTGAGGATTTTGCAGAGCGCAGGTCTGGAATGGAGGAGCTGTGGGTTATGGCCATGCTTGCTTGGAGAGAAAGCCATGCAAGCCCATCTTCTTTGGGTTCTTCCAAATATAAGACAGCCTGAATTAACCATCACCCTGCGTGCCTCAGCTCTGTATTCTAATAAATGGGAGTAGATTTTCTTCACAGGGGATTGATGGCATCTCTCTCTCTGTTGTTTTTGCTCCCATTTTCTTTTTTATTTTATTTTATTATTTATTTTTTTTGGCATGAACTAGGGTAGAAACAGAAAAGGCCTGTATGATTCCTGTGATCTGCTGCCCCGTTAATGCGGGATTATTTCCTCCAGTATGCCATGAGCACGGTGACACTGAGAGCATGGCTTGCCTGCGGCTTTGGCTGCGTTCCTCCCAGGGAGGGGCCGGCCACATCATCCCGGCTCTTCGTTTTGCTTGCAGCTGCCAGATCATGTCTAGAAAAGCAAACAAAAAATATCCAACCCCAGTCTTGAATGCAGCTGAAATGTTTCCTTGGTGGCATTTCTCTTTGTCAACAAATTGCTTGTTGCTTAAGTGCTGTGATGTGATCGCCATCCCAAAGAGGAGAGACCCGCCTCTGAGAACGGGGGGAACATGCCCAGGAGAATAACTTGTTTGAAGAGGTGAGCTCCCCCCTGAACAGGCTTTATGAACAGCAAATCTTTGTCCAATCTTAGTTTGAAGATGCAATTTTGACGGTATGATAATGCAGAAAATGTTTTAAGTCCTCGGGGAGGAAGCTGCCTTTCGGGTGGTGTCTGGCTCTTCCCTCGTTATCATAATGCTGCTTCCGAAACTGCTGCAGCATGGCAATGCACGAGGTGGTGGGGATCACATCCAGGTGGGCTTCTCTCTGGTTTGTTTGGGGATACGGTTGAATTCCTGAAGTTTGCCTCTCCTTCTCCTGGCACCTCATTTTTCATGTATCCATCA